GTGAAAGTGAAAGCAGTGCCCTGTTGATTTAATTATGTGTTTAGTTTTTGTATAAGTTTTTTTTTTTCATATTTTGATGTTTCTTTGAATTTTGGTAAATATGGAGGACCAGGTCAGTGTTCAGATAAGGTTGTAAACAAGATGTTTACAACAACAGAATATTCTGCTGCAGGCATAATTGCCTCCACACTGCAGTTTTACTGGTTTTCAGTAAGCTGTGCTTTTTCTAAATAGCTATACTGCACATATGTTAGTGTCATGACACTCTAGCAATGTTTTAGTTTACTCCCTGGTTGTGATCACACATCCTTGGTTGCTTGGCAACTCTTCTTGCAGTGACAAGAGCAATCAAGCTTGAAACCAAGTTTATCTAAGAAAAAATAGCCATCAGTTTGCTTATCACAAACAGACTTGTACATATTCAATATCAGTCAAGTAAACACTGAACCATAAACAATCAATAATGCAAAAGACAAAACTATGTCCAGATGAGCAGATTCAACTTTCTGTGATTCATCTTGTTACGGCCCTGTTCACTACATTTAAAGCTACAGTCCTTGCCAGGACTGTTACGGTGTAACAGCTGGCATGACATGTATCAGGTCTTGTACATCACCAGGCTGTACGAGACCTGAATATTTAAGATGTTGGACTCAGATGGGTGTGTACCCATGTGGATTTAGGCCCTACTCTAGCTATCACAGATATTCTTGAGGACAAAACAGTTCTTTTTGAATCTTTGACAGCTTTTCAAGTCAGTTGAAAGTTGGATAATTTTCTTGCTTTACGTGTTCAGCTGATGTCTGTAAAAGCAGGCTCAATCTTTCATAGCTCTAGGTGAACAAGCCTAAATATGATCTTCCACTGGTATGTAGACACCTCACCAGAGATGACCTGGGGGAACAATTCCATGTACTATATATAGTATGTGGTATTGTTAGATATGAATACATGTGGGCTGCATTTAATCATACAAGGAAACACCAAAATAAACAAAAAACAAAAGAGTAGGCAAGGAAATCTCTTCCAAGGTTGTGAACAGGCTGGCTGAGTAGTTACGGTGTTGTACTCGAGCTGCTTAAAAAACATTTTAATTGTGTTGCTTGCAGTTTGAAGTGTTGAGTATAAAAAACATGGATGCTTCTATATACTTCTATAGCAGTCTCCTTTATATGGAAGGTGTGTGTGGTGTGACCCATTTTTCTTTATATCTCACAAGTACGATTGTACAGTAGAGGCTATGGTTATTTTTGTTTTTTGTCTTGTTCTGTTCCTGCAGCCAGAACTGAGCAGGAGCTGAATTCTCATGAAAAATAATCTGATAAATGTGAGAAAAGAAAGGTATTTAATTAAACCAGCTGGAGGAGATCCTCTTTCTCTGGTGAAAATGTGTAGCTGATGTCTGCAACTGTATTCACGGACGCCATATCATATATAAGTGTGTGTTTTCTGGTTTTTGCCAAAAGGAACATTCATAATTATGATAATCGTTCCTCTCATTGCATTGTGTAATTAGTGTATCATCATGACAGAAGGCAATTGTCTCTGTTGTGCATGACTTACTCTGCCGATCTGAGAGGACTATAAATTACTTTTAGAAAATGGAAACTCTTACACTTCTCAATGTCTTTCTGCATCTGCCGTATGCCCTGCCATATTTGCCTTTAATATTTACAACAATTAGACCTCTTTTAGCAATCCTGGTGACATAGCTTGCACTAGTAAAACCATTGCTAATTATTGGACATTAAACTGAATTATTGTGAAACTAAACTGGAATGGAGGCAGCACGGTGGCACGGTGGTTAGCACTGTTGCCGCACAGCAAGAAGGTCCTGAGTTCAATTCCACCATCAGGCCGGGGTCTTTCTGTGTGGAGCTTGCATGTTCTCCCCGTGTTTGCGTGGGTTCTCTCCGGGTACTCCGGCTTCTTCCCACCGTCCAAAGACATGCAGCTTGTGGGGATAGGTTAATTGGATAATCCAAATTGTCACTAGGTGTGAATGTGAGTGCGAATGGTTGTCTGTCCCTGTGTGTTGGCCCTGCGACAGACTGGCGACCTGTCCAGGGTGTACCCTGCCTCTCGCCCTATGACAGCTGGGATAGGCTCCAGCGCCCCCCGCGACCCTGATAAGCGGAAGCAAATGGATGGATGGATAAACTGGAATGGTTACAGTGCCATACTTAGGGATGACATTTCACTTTTTTGTGTGTGGATGACTGATGGGATTTCATGTCAGAAACTTAAAATCCCTCCTCAGAGTCAATCTCATATATGCCTTGATCAAGTGCATTGGAAAGTTATATAGAAATCAGGATGGCCGAGTGGTTAAGGCGTTGGACTTAAGTTCCAATGAGCAAATGCTCTCGTGGGTTCAAACCCCACTCCTGGTATTCTGTGCTTTAGTGAAGCTTCACATAACCCTTACCTTGTGTAACAAACCTAGCAATAGCACTCTCTGGTAAAAAAAAAAAAACATAGCTAAGAAAAACTGAAGTCATTTGCATAATACAGATTTCATATCATATAATAGTGAGCATCATCTGGTTGTTATAAAAAGAGCTTTTGCAATAATTTTTCCTACACTGTTTTGAGACCAGTTTTAAATAAGACAGTGTTTTTAAAGTTTCCATAATGCTTGCAGTGTTTATAATGTCTAGGAAAGCCAGTTTTCATAACTACTGTTTTCCTAGCTTTGGCTGTATGAAGATACTGGGGCTATTCCTCCAGTAAAAATACCTAGCTTGCATTGTAAAACTGTAGTGATTGGCTTACATGTAACATGCGCTTACATCTACTTGGCCATCCTGGTAGTTTGCCCAAGGAAACTACCAGGATGGCCGAGTGGTTAAGGCGTTGGACTTAAGTTCCAATGAGCACATGCTCTCGTGGGTTCAAGCCCCACTCCTGGTAGAGTCAAATTTGCTGTCCATGTGGAGTTCTGATTTACTTTGGTGTTAGTAAAGGTAGTGACTATATCCAAAAAGTTACAGTGATGCCTTAAGTTCCAGTGGGTTCAAATCCCACCCCTGTTAGAGCAGCTGTATTCACTCATTAAACCTTAGAGGAGGGGTGTCCAACTCCAGTCCTTGAGAGCTACTGTCCTGCAGCTTTTAGATGCATCCTTGTGAATGAATGGCAGTTTACCTAAAATCAAACTGATTATATCCAAGAATAGAAAATATATGTCCGCTAGCATGTGTGTGATTAATGTTCATTTGTGAAAATGTAGCATTGTATGGTTTTCTTTCAACAGGTCTGATTTGGATTAGTTCATATTCTTGGATTTTGGCCACTGAAGATGCCAAAAAGCTGAATTATTCCATTAGTACAATGATATTGGCAGATGTGAACACTGTTGTGTTTGCATTCACTACAGCTCCATTATGTTCCCATCGTCACGCACACCCACCAACCGAGGGTGAACATTTCTCAAAGGCTGCTGCAAAACACTGAGCTCTCTTGGGAGGAAATAAATTATTTTACCAGAAAAACAATTTCAATCTGTGCCAAACGCTATTCACTCAACCCTCCCTGAGTCTCCCTGAATATCACATCCATACACCCTGTAGGATCAAAGCACCAAACACAGAGAACACCAGGTGATCAGCAAAAGTACCCGGTGTATTACGTGTGATGCTCAATTCCTTCTCTAGCTCATAAAAGATGGAAGAAAGCAAGAAAATGATGGTGCTAAAAGCGATAATGCGAACAAAAAATAATAATAAAAAAGGATGAAAGGCAGCAGCCAAAATGCTGTATATGAAAGATGACAAATGTTACAAAATGCTATCCCTCAAAAACCAAACAAAGAACCACACCAAGACTGACTCCACCTACAAGCAGGCTGAATAGACAGTTTTCAAAGGTTGCCATTCAGCTTGTTGAATGTCAGGAATAGACTCAAAAGAACAACAAATGAATACAAGAGGCAGGAGGAGCTGCAGGTGCACTACCGATAAGAGCTTTAACACTGAACACATGTTCAATATCCAATTTTTAGATCTTGCTCTCTTTAGAAGTATTGCCTTTCTTTTTATGTTTTCTTTTACTCACTGCTTTTACTTTGTATTTTACACTCTCAGTTAGACTTTAGGGACCAATATTGCTTGGTTTGGAACAGGGACAGATGTAGATTCGTATTAAAATACACCATTTCATAAAGTAATCCATGTGTTTGAAAACTCAGGTATGTATTTACTGCAGGGCATTTTTACATGCGCCCCCTTACTGTACCATTAAAGACATTTTTCATCAACCCGCCTCTATAGCTAGAAAAACTATTTAATTGACATGTACTCCTATTATTAAACATGGTCTACTTTACTGTGTGGAACAACAATGATTATGGTTTCCAGTCATTTTATTATTTTTACTGTAATTCATCCCTTTGAACTTTATCAAGGCTTACGCTAAGGGTATCGGCAGATGAATGCGGATTCAGGCAGCTGTAGCCATGGGCTGTCTGCTGCGCTTCACCTTTGCTAATTGGATTCACTGAACTGGACCCCTTGAACATATTTGTGGCCGTGGTGCTTTTTGGAGAATTTTAAATTAAACCAAGAAGCCCGTGTACCCTTTTGGGTTAATAAAATGTATTGTTATATTACTTAGAAGTAATTAGCTGCTACGGGTTTATGTGTGACAACTCCTCGATGGGATGACGGAGTGAGTATGCAATGAGTTACCAACAAATTGTAACTGACTATATTATTTGTGCATATGTATGTACAAACGCCCCAGACAGTCAAGGAAAAAGACTAGCATGTTTTATTAGCTAAGGGGAATGTGTGTCATGCTTGTGTATGTGTACAGGATGCTGCAGTCAATGACAGAGCCACTCCATCACATTATGGCTAAAATTAAACATGAATGCTTATCCAAGCAACACAGCGGTAAGGATTTCTGCATCGGTGTCTGTGCGTCTCAGTGTCAATGACAGCGAGGGTATAAAATGATTTAATCTGAGCTCAGTGAGATGGGTTTCTGCTGGTGCTGACCTGTCAATGATGCCGCACATGTCGATCTGCAGCTGGCTGTAATTTCCCAGCAGTCTTTGCTGCACCTTGATCAGGTCGACTCGCTGGTTCTCCACCGTGAGTAGACGCATGCAGCCCTGGAAAGTCTCGAAGAGGTTTCTACATTCCTCACTGTGCTCTTCAGCAGGACAACCTTGATGGGAAAGAAGTTTTATCAGTTAAACAAAAAGACAAGACAACACCAATGAGATTATGCTATCCTCCAAAGAAAACAACAGGACAGGCCAAGTGCACAAGGTGTTAACAAGACCAGTAGTTTGGTTTTAAAGTTTAGTGGTGGTGTGAAAATTACATGTATATTGCAGGAACTTTCAGACTGGCTTTAAATGTATAAATGAAAGCTTTACAGCATGCTTGTGAAGTGAAAACATGTAGCACAAAGCAGTAAAAACTCTGCTTCACACACATTCGTACCAGTGAAAATAATCTGTAAAATTTACGTGATACCGCTGCCTTACTAGTGCATACAGGAGACAGAGCACATAACACCCACTTGCTAGTGAATGTGCCCAAATATTAGTTGCTCTGTTCTTATATCAACACAATCCAACATCACATGCCCTTTGTCCCACAGAGCTGGCTGGTTAAAGATCAGTTAATATCTCATCTGCATTGAACACTTCTGTTCTGCATACAGCTGTCTTAGGTAAGTCCTTAAGCCCTTTAGAAAATGTCAGAACTGCAGTGCATGAGTAAAATGATGAGTGAGAGTAAAATGAAGTCAAACTCTGGTAAAAGGTCTTCTACCACATAAAGAGTGGTGCTGTTATTTGTGCTTTTTTCTTGTACTCCTAAGTGCCTAAAATCCTGCAAATGTGGACCAGAGTTCACTCCTTTCCCTTTAACACACCTTGGATTGTGTGCACTATCGAGTGCCTCCTAACTGAGAAAAAGGAAGTTGTCATGTTTAGTGACTGGGAAAAAAATTAGGTTGGCATAGCATGAGTTGAAAAGCAGTTTGAAACAGGAAAAAGGGGACTCTAAAAGGAAGTTCGACAGGAAATTGCAGTGCAATAACATCAAAGAGGTGTAGAGAGGAATGAATATCATTACTGGCTTCAAGCAGAAGAGAAATCAGCCGTTTAAGATGCTCTGCAAACGGATTTGACCAGTTGCTCCCGCCAACCTCTGCCAGTCCAGCTTCTTCGCCATCACCACCCTCACTAAGCACCTTCTACACCAGCTTCTCCTCAGCTCTTCTTTACAGTGGATTGGGTGAGAGCTGAGCTCAGGAGGCAGAATTCAGGGAAGGCGGAAGACCGTGGTGCCCGGTACTCTGGCACTTAAAGACCGTGTGTCAAAGCCGGTGGAGCCTGCCTGTGCTATCTTCAGCCTAAGTCATTGGTGCAGGAGGAAAACATCATGTCTTATGCCAGTAAGGCAGGGCAGCTAATGATGATTAATCACTACAGAGCAATTCCTCTCACTTCTCAAATAACAGAGATATGATATGGGGAGTGTGAGCCCCATGAGACCACAACTCCAACATGCACTAGAACCATTACAGTTTGAGTACCAGGGGAACACTGGTGAGGATGACCTGGTCTTCTCATGCAGTTAATAGCGTTCATAATACTGATGATTAGTCTTACGGGGATCATTTGCACCTTTTAATTGGCTATTTTATTGCTTCATATCTATCTTTAAATCATATGAAAACAGGTCATCTTTTTTGTTGTTGTCCACTTACTGCAGCTAGCGCGAGTAAATGTGTAAATGTGCGAGAGTGCACTTGCAGGATGATAAAAAAGCCTAAAGCTGTTAAACACAATGCTAGACTACAATATTGCTGAGCAGAGGGAAAACAAAGGAGATGAGATTTTTAGGCAGCGAGGGAGGCAGTGAAGTATGAACAAAAGGGGGAAAGGGAGGGAGAAAAAAGAAAGAGAATGAAGTGGATTGCAGCATGAGGCAAGGACAGAGTAAAGAGAGACAAAAGCAAGATGAGAGAAAGAGTACACTAACTGTATGATGCAATATACACATACATACAATATCACATCTTCTATATAAACATAGCTATGCTCTTTTAAACTGTATTGGAACAAGCTGTTTAATCCTCTGCCTTTAAGCCAACTTAATCTGACTGACTTCCCCTCGTTAACTGAAAATCTGAACAACAGATGGGTGGAACTGTTGTGTGCCAGAGATGACCATATTAGGGATATCCAACCTCTCACTGAAATGAGAATGTGGACCAGTCTAAAGCCTGCATGAGTTTTTGGCATGTAGGGTGTACTTGCACATGTGCTGACCTCAGCATTTGAAACTGAGCCATGTTTAGTATGAGCATCCATCCTTGTAAGTGTGTGTATATCTATATCAATAGCCCACTTGCGCCTTCTTGTTCTAGTAGCCTACTTCTCATCAGTGTGTCCTGGTTCTTCAACATCCGGGCAACATCCAAGCTGGTATGGTTTCAGTTTTCTGTCTTTCGCTCATGTCTGAGGTAGGCTTGGATAGCATGGGGGGGTCTAGCCTAGGGACCCTTGTTGGATACAGGAGCTTGGAAAGAAAAGCATCTGGACTAGTTTAAGTTTCTTGAAGACGTTTCACCTCTCATGCGAGAAGCTTCTTCAGTTCTAAGACCAATTGATGGATTTTAGTCCCAGATTTTTAAGCCTTATTGGGAGTGACCCTATAATGTTCATGGACCTACTATTGATCCTCCGCCGAATCTCACCAGCCAAGGTGTGAAAACAGGTGTGGGTCACTATCAGCCAAGGTTTCAGGTGAACCCATTGTGAGACCTTGCCTCACCCAGTCATGTGACTTACTGAGATCAAATGACTCAAAATGTGAGTGAGCGTTAAGGCGTCTGGGAAGGGATCTCAAAACTGGATTATAGATGGCAGACAGTTGTAAGCGACCCCCTCTGTTCAAAGATGGTCGCTGGCATCCTCGAAAGAGTGACCTTCATCCTTTAGATGCAGATGTACAGCTCAGTCTTGTCCTGTTGAGCTTCTTGAAGAAGCTGAGACCTCTAAAAATTAGGTAACAGCACCTTGACTGCCATTAGGTATCAGGATGTTGTTGCCTTAGACCCACTGTCAGACCCTAGTATGTTGGTGCAATAGGTCCAGGGTTCCTCCTGGTGCACCACAACGCCTCATGTGGTGACAGTATGCAGGCAGTTCGGGGAGGATACCACTGAGTGCCAATTCCAATTATTCACTCCCAACCCCTGGGAGTCATTTGGTACCGGTCCATGAGAGTTGAGGCTCGGGTGTGAAATTTATGGTTTTCAGGGTTTTTATCGATAACTCGGTTTCCCTGGGTCTTTTCCCGTGTTGTAGTTGTGTGTCTTATTTTGAAAGAAATATTTACGTGTTATCATAGCGACCAGAGAACATTAAGGGGGAGAGGGGGAGGATGTTACTCTCAATGTTGTTGGTGCATTTCAGGAGGACGCTGCTAATAAAGTTACACAATTACACAGTGAATTTGCATTTATTATTATATTTACATAATACCACAGTTTTTATCTTGGTCGTATCTTTTTATTTTGTCGTATTTATCCGTGACACCTTACAGGCCGGTCCGTGAAAATGTTGTCTGACATTAAACCACTCCGTGGCGTAAAAAAGGTTGGGAACCGCTGCAATAGAGCACTTCTGGGACGTTACATTTTGGTCCATCTGATGCCACCAGTTTACACCTCAGACTATCCAGAAGCTTGTTGATGTGCTGGTTCAGAGCTGGGAGGAGATTCCCCAGAACACCATCCATCATCTTATTTGGAAAATGTCCCAACATCGTCAGGCATGCATACAACCACCAGCCTGCTGCATCATTTTTTCATTTTGATTTTCAGGGTGTCTTTGAATTCAGTCCTCTGTACGTTGATAATTTTTATTTCCATGAAATGATGTAGAATCATTTTGTTCCTCCCGCATTACTCAATCCATATCAGTAGAGATATCAAGGATGATTTATTTTCCACACTAGTTTCTGATGTACTTTGCCATTCAATTTATTATACGAATCAGGATTATGCAATATTTAAACAGATTGTTCGCTTTTATTCTCAGCTTCCTGAATTTAATACGAACACACCCACACAGTCACGATGAAGGAGGTTAGCTGTGTATGTAGTGTTAAACACCTCAAAGATTATTTTTTCATGAACATCTAGCTTTCCAGAGAAATACTTTTAAAATCAGTTTTCAGGGGATCTTGTAACTGAATAAGAACTTTAATTACAGCCAACAGAAGGAACAGAAATCTTCTAATTGCTTTTCCAGTTAATCTAAGCATAGATATAATATGTAGAAACACATATACTTAAGGAATTTCAAAGTTTCTTAGTTTATAAAAGCTCAAAAGCCTGAATTCACTCTTACCACCAAAGAACAGTTGAGTTTCTGCGGTGATGGGAAATGAGGGAGCAGCATGAGCAATGCCCCCTTCTCCTTTATCCACAGAGATTGTCAAGCGACCGCGTCTGGCTGTAAAATCCACTGCATGCCACTGACCATCATTTAGAGCAGCACCTGAGAAAACAGCAGGCGACAACCCTAATGATATTTTATTTCTTTTTATTTTAAAAACAGTATTAAAAACATAAATCAGTAAGGGGTTGACACATGAAAGGTTAGGATTTCATTGTGCAGGTTTATACACTGACCTGCGCTGAGCTCTAGCACCACTGAGCCACTTTTATGGATCATCAGTCGGAGTCTGGCATCACTCAGATATAACCAGACCATGCCCTCTTGTTGAGGAAGGCTAAAGGTGAACAGAAGCCCTCCCTTGTTCCACGTCCTGAACTGGAATCCGACAGACACACCACCCGGCGAGGACGCTGTAGTCCCGGGCAACTGGAGGAAGCTCTGTGGCCCGGGGAACGTCAAAGCAACGGAAACTGGCTCAGCACAAGAAAAGGTCACATTGCCCTGAGAGAGAAACATGAAGAGTGGAGAGTGGGGAGGTGGGAAGAAAAAAAATGATTACTGGTGAGA